GGTCCTTCGTTAGAACATCCATCAGTTGTCATCTCTCCACCTCATTTGATCGTCAATGAAAGCAAACCAGCCATTTTACACTGTTCTGCAAGTGGATATCCTCGACCTAAGATCGTTTGGAGTAAAGTGGATGGTTCATTGYCCCACRAAAGATCAATGGCTGATGATACTGGTAAACTGTTGATAGAAAACGTCACATTCAATGACTCAGGGGTATATCAGTGTCATGCTTCTAATATCCTTGGTCAAACACAGACAATATCAAGACTGGAGGTGAACTTTCGTCCAAAATTGACATTAAAGAGCGGACCAATCTACGCTAGGATAGGAGACAATGTCACTCTTCCCGTGTGTCACGTGACTGGCCATCCACAGCCGGAAGTTGTATGGCAGAAGGCAGTCAGGCGGTTACCAAGTAAGCGTATCAGTCTTCGAGATAATCTTTTGACTTTACTAAGCATAACAAGTGAAGATTCTGGTGCCTATCTGTGTAGGGCTGAAAATCAGCTTGGATTCGAGGTAGCAGGATGTATGTTAGTCGTGGTACAGTTGCCTGTATTCATCGTTAGACCTCCGCCTGTATTGAACGTCACACTCACCTCGACCATTATGCTCAATTGTTCAGCTCAAGGTGACCCTCCACCGTTAATCAGCTGGAGAAAAGAAAAACAGGATCTTCCAGTAGGACGGTATGAAGTACGTCATGGGTCATTGATGATAAAAAATGTGGTCAGCTCTGATTCAGGTGTGTACGTGTGTACCGCTACGAGTGCTGGAGTTGCTGATATAGTAACTAAAACACGAATAAACATTGCCAAAGATTGTGCACAGATTTACAAATTAGGTGAAAGACGTAACGGCGTGTACACAGTAAAACCCGACAGTCAAGGAGCCTTTCAAGTCTACTGCGACATGACAACTGACGGAGGGGGGTGGACAGTGTTCCAGAGAAGACAAGATGGATCTGTAGACTTTTATCGTGACTGGCAACAATACAAAACAGGTTTTGGAAACCTGAATGGCGAGTTCTGGTTGGGTAATGACTACATCCATCGATTGACTGCACGAACACCGTCCATTCTGCGCGTGGACCTGGAGGACTGGAGTGCAGCAAAGTATTTTGCCAAATATGGTAGTTTTAGTGTTGGTGCTGAATCAGACAAGTACAAACTAAAGGTTGGCTCGCATTCAGGTACTGCTGGAGACTCACTAACAGCCCATAATAACATGTTCTTTTCTACCAAAGATCAAGAGAACGACAGGCAATCGATAGAAAACTGTGCGGTACAATATACTGGTGCTTGGTGGTATAATGCTTGTCATCATTCCAATTTGAATGGGAAATACTTGGGAAACACCATTGATGACAAAGGAATCTGCTGGCGTCATGTAAAAAATAACTATTATTCGTTCAAACGTTCAGAAATGAAAACACGACCTACGACATTCTAATGTTATTCTTATGTTCCGATACGCGTCGTGATTCTCCTCAATACTTCTCTCGCGTATTCTGCCAATCCTTGCGTTATAACTGCTAGCAGTAAGCGCGCGCGCTTTTTTGATTACTTCAACACAGCACAGTCCTCGACCAATAGGAGCGTACGTAGCAAGATGACTATATAATAACAATATATCCAATACTTTTGATAGCGAATGTATAAAAAGTTTAGTTTATAATGGACGCACCATGTGAAAAGAGGGTGTACAGTGTTTGAATGTGGATATAACTGTTTGGTTATAGCTATCTTACAATATCGATGAGAACTAGATTGAAAGCTACTAGCTTGAATGGTTAAGCATGACGGGCAATTTTTGCCTCGCATTATCGAAGATAAATACTTAGATTCGATCATGAGGTTTATTCATCTGAAAGACAAATATACTGAGGATGTGGCGCGTCGTGTTTCATCATTTATTAAAGCTGATTGCACCTTTGCATTATATTAAGCTAGATAATTTAAGTTTCTGTGATCTCCACAACCTATAGACATCAGAATGTTTGCTTACGTCAGTCAAATATTTGCTAACTTACTCAGTCCGTTAGAATTGTGATGAATTGAAGCCAAAACACGTGAAAATAAGCCGCGTTTTGAAAGGAGAAACATGACTAGCGTTATAAACCAGCATGGATCAACATAAAGTAGCTTCAAAAAAGCTTAGTAAAATAAATAAAAAAGGAGATCTTAATGGGAATATTTTGAGATGGCTCCCTGTTGTTTCTGACCTCGTGTCTCAATCTAGTCTGCTAATAATTATAAGATATATATCTTGCTGCGCTCACACTGATAATGTGAGTACCATGCACCGTTCTCTGAAGGAGCACTGTTTTGAGCCAATCAGAAAACGCGTAGCGAGGTGACTATATAATACAATCAGTTGTATCGACCCCTCCGCAGAAGAACGAAACACAATAGCATGCAAGCTGATATATCTTTGCTTTTAAACATGATGGTACAGATACACTTTATATTGAATATCGAATAACATAATATTATTTGGTCATGAGCAGAGTACGACTTCGACGACCGTCTATCTTCAGCATTTTGTAAGTCAAAATGAATCAGGAAAAGTTGATTTCGAAACCATCAACTAACACACGTACCGTCTTCTGCTTAGTGTTGGTGGTGTTAGTGTGTTGTGGTGAGTTTGTACGTATCGAGATGATTCTGAAGCAACAAAACACGAAAATACAACAGTTGGAAAACAAGATGACCTTTCAAGCAGTCAATGTAGACAAGATGGCGGCAACCAAAGGAAAGGGTCTAGAACATCTCGCTTTGGACGTTAAAGAATGTTGTGGAAGGACAAATACACGAATACAAAGGAGTGTTGACGGACAAGACTTAGTAATGCAGAAAGAGACCGGCAACCATACGAAGAGTGAGAGTCTGCTTGTTGAAAAACTGACCAAAATAATGGAGAAGCAAGTAAACAAAGCTATCTCTGCTAAGAACTTTATCGCTATA